CTCGAGCCCCAGCACAGCCCCCCTCCTTCTCCCCGAGTTACTGAAGTTAAGAAAATATAAAATCATTGTCCTTTCTCCCGCCGTTTTCCCTCGGATCTTCAAGTTTCTATTTCACAGGGTCATTCCACAGAACCCCCGAGCGGTTTGGGTTGGAAGGGACCTCTAAAGCCCACCCCGTCCCACCGCCCCAGTTCTGCTGTTCATGCTCAGCAGCGTCACCTGGTTCCGCCTGACAGAGGCACAGCCGCCTCAGCCTGGATACCCTGAGAGCACAGGGATCTCAATCAGCCACCTCAGCCTGGATACCCTGAGAGCACAGGGATCTCAATCAGCCACCTCGGCAGCCTGGAGACCCTGAGAGCACAGGGATCTCACAGCCACCTCAGCCTGGATACCCTGAGAGCACAGGGATCTCAATCACCTCCTCGAGCTCCCCTCCCCAGAACGTCACCACAGCAGGTCCCAGGGATTGTCCCCCCACCCCAGATTACCTGCCTCGATCCCTTTGTCCCAGCTGGGCCGTGGATTTACAGGGCCCTTCCTCAGCCAGAGCTTTAGGAACCCTCCTGGAAGTGCTGGCACAGCACACATTTACTAGAACAACATTAAGACCCACTCCCAGCCCATCCACGACCCCAAATGCCCAGATGCTCCCATTCCACAGCTCCTATGCTCCGTTTTCACATAACTGTCTTTCCTAATCACTGCCTTTGGGATTAATTCAACCATTTGGCTTGGGATTGTTTTTAATTGCAAGAACCATCAGTGTCTGGGCTAGAAACCCCCCCTTCAATCCACCCACTCGTTTTCATTTCCCAGATCCCGGGAAACATTAACTCCTGCTGCTCCAGGGGCCAAACAGGAGCCACATGGGCTGGTCTTATGCTTCCAGGCTTTCCCCTTCAGCTGGTGACTCCTCTATGGAAAGAGACTTTCAACTTTTGATACTTTGAAAGGGGCACCTGAAACTTCTAGGAGATCTTTCCAGCAAGGTGACAGCCACCAGGAGCTGTTTCCTTACTTCTTTCCACTCCTCTCACCTGCCAGCTAAACCCAACATCTTCCAGCTGCTGAAAAGTTTAATGAAAACAGGTAACGAGCTTCCTCCCCTCCTGTTTTACCTTCTCTCCTTCTGCTTTACCTCCAGAGCCCTCAGCTATGAGCTCCCACCAGCCCTTCCCTTCTGTCTGGATGCTGCAGACTGTGGCAACTTCTGTTTTCCACTCCAAACAACTCAATTCCATGGAGATGTGTCTGCATCCATCCCGATTCCTCAGTACTCACACAGATCCAGCAGCACCAGCACAGCCCTCAGAATCCTCCCACTCCAGACCAGCCTCCCCCACGCCAGGAGCTGCTCAGAGAGCTGGTAACTCCAGGATTATTACAGAGAGCCATAGGATCCTAGAAAAACCCGACTTGGAAGGGACCCACAAGGACCATCAAAGTCCAATTCCTGCCCAGGACACCCCAACAATCCCACCCTGTCCCTCAGAGCGTTGTCCAAACCCTCCTGGAGCTCTGGCAGCCTTGGGGCCGTGCCCACTGCCCTGGGGAGCCTGGGCAGTGCCCCAGCACCCTGTGGGGGAAGAACCTTTCCCTGAGATCCATCCCAACCCCAACCTCCCTGGCACAGCTCCATGCCATTTCTGGCATCAAGATTTGCACCTCCTGAGGAACAGAAGCTTCTCCTCCAGGGACAGACACAGCCAATCCAGGTCTGAGCCTCACAAACTGGCTGTGAGACATTTCCCCTCTCACCCTCAAAATATTTAATGCTGTAAATTGTAACACCCCACTAAACTACTAAAAACAGTGGGGTTTCCACAACTTGAGAGTGAAGGGTACAACCCCTCCTGTCTGAGCTTCTTCTGTTTCCACAAGATGGAGAAAACTCATGAATGACCAACACCACGTCTCTGGTGACTCCTCTGGGCAACCTTCACCAACACAGAGGAGTCCACCTGTACCTGAACCTGCCCAAGTGGCTCCTTAGGTATGTCCTTGCTCCAATTCCAACACTAACACACTCCTGGCCACCATGTCTCCACCTCTGAAGCCCCCAAGAAGTCCTGTACATGGGCTTTAAAACCCCCCCCAGGAACTGCACTCCCAACACTGCCCTTTTTGCCTCTCTGTGCTCTCTCAGTCCTTTTGGGAAATTTCTACATCAAGTCCAACAACACCCAGGGAAACTGCCAGTTGTTATTTTAAGTGCTTTGGCAAACCTGGTTTTTAGCTGTTGTGTCTCTGATCTGTTCCATTTTCAGCAGAACTAGCTCAGGCTTTCTTCTGAGAGCCTGAATTCCACTCATGACACCAAGTGGCCCTGGGGTTTTTTTTAACCTGAGCAATTAGCAGCTCTTAAAGAGACTTGTGTCTCCCATTAACAGAGAAAATGATTCTACAAACTAGAGAAGTTGTTCAGCACAATTCCATTTCTTTAACAAACATGACCATGCAGAAGAACCAATTTCCCTTAACACAAGAGAAAAGAGAAGGCTCTTACTTGCTGCTTCCAAGCCCATCCCCCCAAGTGCTTTCCCCATTTCCCAGCAGGACTCATTCCCAAGTTTGTGCTGCCTCTAATCATTTGGTCTCTGACCACTGAAGCTGTGGCTGCCCCATCCCTGGAAGTGTCCAAGGCCAGGTTGGACAGGGCTTGGAGCAACCTGGGCCAGTGGAAGGTGTCCCTGCCCATGGCAGGGGGTGGCACTGGGTGGGCTTTAAGGTCCCTTCCAGCCCAAACCAGTCTGGGATTCTGTGATCTACAGAATAAACATATCCTCCAAAATGACCAATCCAATCCCTTGGCTGTGCACAGGGAATCATGGAACACTGGATTAAAGCACAGCAGAGGTCTAACAGCCCATTAAGGTGTTTTCTATAGGGAGAAACAGAAGTACAGCAGAGCATTAGTGCAACCACAGCTCCATAAACCCAAATCCCCTGGGAACAACTCTGCAACAGCAGCTTATTCCAGGTCAAGTGTGCAATGGCAGAAGGGGTAAGATCCAAGCTAGAATATTTGTTCTGCTCTGGAGAACATTCTCTGTAGATCAACCCCTAAAGATGGGAATTACTGCACACAGAGAAAGGAACTCCCTGCCCCCAACCAAAACCCTGCAGTTGTCACAAAATCATCTCAGAATGGTTTGGGTTGGAAGGGACCTTAAAGATCACCTTGTTTCCCCCCCTGCCATGGGCAGGGACACCTTCCACTGGCCCAGCTGGCTCCAAGCCCCATCCAACCTGGCCTTGGACACCTCCAGGGATCCAGGGGCAGCCACAGCTGCTCTGGGAAAACTGGGACAGCCCCTCCCCACCCTCACAGCCAACAATTCCTTCCCAATATCCCCTCTCACCCTGCCCTCTGGCACTGGGAAGCCATTCCCCTTGTCCTGTCCCTCCATCCCTTGTCCCCAGTCCCTCTCCAGCTCTCCTGGAGCCCCTTTAGGCCCTGC